TCGCGAAGGATTTTGGGCTCGTTTTTGACTTGTTTGGAATAGTTGTCGTTAAGAGGGATGGTCAACTTTCCAGACAGACCAGCGGTTCCAATAATTCTTAATGTCCGCCAAGACTTTTGGAACATAGGATCATGCGATGAACTAGAGCCAGCCAGAGGAGGCTGCTGTTTCGATCTGTCGGTTTCCCTGACGATAGACTGCGATCACCGATTTACGTTCACACGTCATTTCAGACACCCATCGCTTGGTTTTTACTTTGGGAGACAACACTTATCTTAGATCTGTTTGTTATCGACGGACGACCCCGCGGGATAACGGCACAGCGGCTGAAAGTAAAATGCGGGATGAAGGCTTTTACAGGAACCCGAGTGAGGGGATTTGGGGAAGTGATAAACTTTGAAGTCTGTTTCAAGCTTTTGGCTTCGGAGCTTTTTGGTGGGTTGTCAGGAGTTTGAGCGAAAAGTCTTGTTTCATTGAGCAGGTTCGAACCTTAGTTCTGGCCCCAGTAAGCTGCCGTTCAAACTTCGCCTGGTGACCCAGGGATGCCCTACCAACAACTGCCGGTATAAGCGCTTTCAATGCCACGACTCACGAATGGATCAAGACGACGGCCGGCAGAAGGGCCCAATCACCACCGGACGCGCTTGGCAGTTCGATGGGGTGACCTTGCCCCTCGAGATTGATAATGACGACTGGAGTACCGAAGGTTCAGGTCCATTCTCATCTAGGCCATCGTGGAGTCCTCGTCGGTTTGACAAGTCAGGGTTGCTGGCCGAGGCAGAAATCTGCCCATGCCAACTGACTGTCTAGACGGCACGTGTCGTAAATGGACATGAATGTGTCTGGGTAAGCTCGCGGTTCGCCTTGTCGAAAGCACCAATCCATGTGGTAAAGTTATGTATGCTCGCATCGTGAGTCTAGCTAAGGACTCCATTCGGTCCTATCCACCCGCATTCCAGATTTGTGCCTGACAGCTAGCTACATCGCTTACGACACGCCACCATCCATGGACGTTCATGCCGATCATTCCAACCTAGCCGCCGTCGCCCTTGGTGATCTCCGTTTAAGCTCAGCTCAGACAGGGGACAGCCTTGCTATGGCGTTGTCCCGTGACCATAGCTCGTCTGCGCTCTCAATTGAGAGCTAGAAACATCAATTCTAGCAGCGGCAGTTCGGGAACAAGTCGAGCCCGCCAACCGAGAAACGGCCATCCCCCGCTTACACCGGGCTCAAGCCTGTAAATAATTATCGTAAGGAGCGAAAACAGCGCCAATCGAAACGACCAAATGTCGGAAGAAGTAAGGCGCAAGACTTAATATCTGGCGGATTATTAGATCCCCCCAATCTTTCCAGATACAGACTTACATTAGTGTGTCCAGCACACACGGCAATTATCAGTTTATTTTCCGTTATGTTGGACAAGGCCCGTATGAAGTTGATTGCCGGATTCCAAGTCCACTGACCTCTGCGATGTAGACCTGCTAGACAATCAGTAAAACATGATATTCCCGTCTAAGGAAGCTTTTTTGACCGGAGATGTCCGAACGGTTGGCCAGTATTTCTGAACTTTCCCGCACCTTAGCAGCAGTCTTGAGCTTTTGAGGATGTGGCAGGGCAAGTGGCCTCCATCAGCTGTCCAAGCCAGGGTGCTGGCTTTGGATTTGCAATAAAGTAGGCTCTTCTCGCATTGTATCATTTCGCTTCCGCGTGTTGAGCCCGTTTCCAAAGAAATCGCCTCATGTTGACTCAAGAGCCTCCACGGGAGAGTCGCAAATGCTACCCGGTGTTCTCTTAAGCATAACTCGCAGCCAAGCTGGCTCTCTGAAATATTCCGCATGAGCCTAGCGTCTCTCTGAAGCTGTTGAACGTCTCAAGATCGTCAGGAACAACTTTACAGTACAAGGTTAGGCGGCATTCACAAAGAGGGGCGTTCCCTGACGGGGATAAGTGGACTCGGCACAGACGATAACATTGCGCCCCGAGATCCTCGGAAAACAAGTGCTGTTGTTTGTAGGTAGTGCACCTGTTCTCTCTGCGAAGTATTTGATTCCGGGTACAGCACTAGTTGCTGAAATCTAGCCCGACTTCGGGCATTGGAACATGTCCTTTGACAGTCCTGACGCTTCGTAAAATAGATCATCACAAGCACCGCAATAACATGCAAATCGCCGGGCTAAGTACATAAAAGACAGACACGCGACTAGGGTCTGTTCTGTTTGAGTACCAAACAATGAATCAATCCAGCTTTTGGCTTCAGTGGCGAAGTAAGCTACCTTCGGCTGAGAACAGCCAGTGCATCTGGGCTCTCAAAGATGGAAGATAGTGCCTGACTTCCTTGGGACAGGGCGCCGCCATTTCTATTTCTAGGATCAAGCTCGCTTGCTTTTGCAAATTTCCTAGAGTTTAGCTTGCTTGGGGTTCGATCGAACGAAACAAAACGAAACATTCGCACCACGTTAACCTCCTAGCTAGGCTTGCGTTACCCCACAGAACGAGTGCCTCAGGGGCAAGACGCTGTGGCTATCGAGGATCTGGAGTTGGCCAGGCACCGAAAAAGCACGCATTCCTTGGAACTTGATCATTGGTTCTGTACTTGTAAACAGCAAAGCCCCAAAGATTTACTGAGCTCGGCCTTAGTGCCTCGGGTATGCATGACCCGTAAAGCCTCACTACCCCTTGATGCTCCTATGTCCTTCATACTCTGTCGAGGATATTGAGTCCATAGAAGCACCAACAGTGACCTGTCGATCTAATTCTGCAGATTTCGTCGGTCAGGATTGGCGCCGGCGTTCTAGGAGCCCTGGAAAGAGTGCTGGCGACAAATGAAACATAAAGGGGCTGCTGGGCCTTGCGCGGCATATCACGGATCCGGCCGTACTCGGTTCTAGACTTCTACTTCACCTAAGGATCGTTTCGGTAACCAAATCATCTGACTACAGCCAAGTCCTCATGCAAACGTTCATATATATGGAATTGCCAAACGTTTTCGTATGCCTTATGCAGGTCGCTGGTCACACTTTCTTCATTATGAGGTACCTTGATGCTCACCAGTGATGGTCTAGGACCGAAAGAGGCCCACTAATGTAAACTTCGTTCATGTTTCGTAGGGTCATGCGCAGGGACTCGTAGCTCTGGTTCTTCGCCATAGACGCAAATGAAGGTCAGATGAAACTACGGAGAGAGTCTGTCATGAGATTTCTGCGATCAGCCCCAGATGCCTTCATGATCTTGTGAGGCGTAGAGGCTGACGGAGTGACTATTGGATGGTAGGAAGAGTGTCACTGAAGCTGCGAATCAGTCGACAATGCGGCATGGCTAGCCGGCTCGTTTGCTCAAGACTCTGTGAGACGCACTACTGCCCAGGTTGAGTGTCTACTCACGGTCATTGTTTTGAGACACATCCCTCCAGTGAAAGAAATAGTTTGCTAGTGAAGAGGGCCTTCGCCCTATTGGATTTGTCCAGAGGCCTTCATTAGAATACTTTATCAACTTTTGGCGCAGAACGACACCCGATGGACAAGAGAAACATAGGCGACAACAGGGTCCAGTGCTTTATCATCATATTAGCAGAACTTGTTCCAGTCAGTCGTCGAAGACCGATTTTTGAGATAAAGATATGAGAAGCAAAAGGTCGATCATCGGCTTTTACCGGCTCCTCTGCATGGTTTGTGAGGTTGTACGCCTGCGACACAGCAGGAGTCTCTGGTAAAAAACGCCATTAGAGAGTGTGAGATCATGTCAGTTCTGAATGGCCATCAAATGTTGGACGCCTATAAACAGTTTAGTCGCATGGCGAATCCCTTGTTAGCTTCATTTGCCCTACTTTCTCGTACTGATTGCGACCGTGATATGTTGTCCTAGTGTATGACTCCAATATACCATAGTTCAGTGGTATTCACGTTGCGTAGTGCGCTGTGCAGGTTGAGAACTTAGCTTAGGATGTTAACACTCGGGGCCCCGTTCCGCGGGTTCGCCACTTTGGCAGTGCTTGTCCCCAACCTCTTCGGCCCTTTGCCGCTGATGAGATTCAACGGGATCCAGCAAAAAGCTGTTTCTTAGCTACCGCAAACGTGGAGTTGACATGCAGCGACGGCTCAAGACTCGGCATCATGGTTGTCAATCTAGGCTCCGACTGCATATTGGTCAAGAGTGGAAATTCCCCGTAGCCCCTTCCCCCAATAGAAACCGTCAGGTTATTAGTGGAATCCAGACCGCTATTAAGGAATCGGAGGACGGGTCTCACGGCACTTGAATTACCCACCTCGGACGTCCTCCGGCTGGAATCTTGACAGAGCCCGATGGTGAGATTCCACTCTGCGCAACCGAGGGCCGGCCATGTGGCCCCGAAAAGCCTTGTCGGCAGAACTTACCGACTCAATCCGTCCAAATGGCGGCCCCCTTAATGAACATCAGATGGAGCTAGGATTGAATCGGTAACTTATTGTGTAAAATATGGGGAGATGTTACGGTCGTATGGGTTGGTGGACGGCATAACCTGGCATAATGTCTGTCCTCTCATTGGTGGACGGGGGAATCTCTCTCTGTCAGGGGTCAGCTTGACTTCAACTCCATCAACTTCCTCCACGAACAAAAGCAACTCTCGTGTTCGCCTGCGATATTGATGATGCCTTGCAATTGCAGGCGAACATTTCCAAATTCACGATGGAAGTGCCTCACTAGTAGGGAGTGAGGAAGGCCCCCTCATGTTGTGTCAACGTAAAATGCCTGTGACTTCCGCTTGATTCTGGGAAAGCCGTTTTTGTAATTTAGCACAACTCGACAATAGTCCAGCTGTCTCTATGACTACTCCAAATATGATCTCTGGAATTTTCAAGTCGGCTCTGGCAGCCGCCATGATCGGCACGTCGGTTGCTGTCGACACCTGGGGCGGCTCCGTGTCCCTGGGCCCGACCACCTCGACCATCATCAAAGCCGTGACAACCATCATCCCCGGCGACGCTCCTCCCACCCAGAACGGCGTTCTCGCCCTGTGACCCGGCATGTCCAACGGCACCGGCGACCTGGTCCAAACAACCCTCGAGTCCTGGCCCGACAACTCCTGGTGCGGCGCCAAGAAGGGCCAGTGGTGCGTCCGCGCCTCGCTCTTCGGCTCCTTCGGCCAGCTCAGCGGCGACGCGAGTGCCGTCTCAGGCAACCAGAAGGTCAAGATCCTCTACGAGCTGCTCTCGGACAACAACACTTGGCGCCAAAACGTCACCGATGCTGACACGGGCGCGAAGCTTAGCTCGTACGAGTACAAGTCTGGTCCCTTCATGAGGGGCTATGGCACCGGCACCGAGTGCAATGCCAACTGCAGCCCGACCGTCGCCAAGCAGCAGTACATCAACACGGAAATAACTCTGGCCGGAGCCGACCCCAATTTTGGCAAGACCATTGCCACTGCGCAGAAGGCTACGTATACTGGCCTGGCCAGCAGCCAAGGAGGCAAGGTCTGGACCATCAAGGAGATTAATGTCCCGGCAATGGTCTAGAGCAAATTTTCCATTGCTTGAGATGAACAGGTGGTAAAGAGCTTGAAGATGGCACGAGGAGAGGGCGTCCGACTCACTGTAAATATTTGGATAAACATCCCCAAACACGCACATAAGGACGTTGCCATAGATGATGTGGCTAGTACAAACAACAATATTTGCTCTTCAAATTTTCTCTCCACTCCCGTTGCCTCTTTTGCCATCCGTCCCATGGCATCTTCCGAGACCGGGGCCGGATTTCACCCCAACCATCTGATTAAGATGGCAAAAAGGACACATGGAGTGGTCAAGTCTTCTTTTCTTCATGTAACGAGACCATCTAGATGTTGAGCAAGAGATGATGATCCAGCTCCCTCCCGGGCACGGAACTGTGTTTGCGGCTCAAACTGAGGACCAAACAGACCGAGGCCCCGTGTTGTGGGAATAGGGGGTCGGTGATTCGGGCATGGGACTACCGGAGACCAGCCCCGAAATGAATGAAGGAAATTTCGGAAAACGCCACTCGATGATATCTGACAAGGTCAATACCACAGATCTGGAGAAAACCCACCGGAGTGGGACGCAAACCCAGAGATATTAGCAGTTTGGTACAGCTCAAGCCACCTTATTCATAACATATGGTCTATGGCGATCATATGAGCATGCCATGAGTATTATGAGCTGAAGAAATGCAATATGTCGGGTACTGTTATTGATCTGTTCGACAGTTGAATAGGATTTCTAAGGATGCCGGAGTTATCAGATCACAGTTTTCCTGAGTAGTAAGCGCAAACTCCCACCCACCATGAGTCATTATGGACTAGGCCGATGAATCCCGCTATCATCATCAGATACCGTCAACGCCTAGACCTGCCCTGCCGTATTGCAATGTTTGGCCTACAAGCGCAGTCTGCTATTGCTCCGCCCAACTCCTTCTTGCCCCCTCCATCTCCCCTGGTCCCGGGGAACCAGGCTAATGCAACCGGCGCGGCTCATCGGACGCAAGCCGTTCTGCATTCGCACAGACTCCCCACCGAACCGTCCCCCTCAAGCCGGCCGTCTCTCGCCCCAGCGGGTTTGGGGAGCTTCATATCATTTCTCTACTTCTTCACTTGGCTGATCCAATCTCGATACGGATCTCAGGTATATCGTCGGGAAAGCCACACGAGGATCGATGGTTAAATCCACAGCTCCAGCTCCATTCTCCCTGCGAACAACGCGAGATATGGCGGCTGCCGTCGTAAACATGGGCCCATTGCCCACTCCTCCCCAAGCCAGAGGAGGCCCAGATCCCTGGATCCCTGGCGACCCTGCAAACTGCCGCGGTCACTTATCTGAAGGTCATACCTCTGAAATATGTGACAAGTCAGGCCTGTCTGGGCACGTCTGACAGCGCTCCCTCCTGCCCATGCACGTGGTCTCAATGGGGAGAGGGATCAAGTAGTCTGACCTCCAACTGTCAAAATTAGGAAAGCGCTCTTGCAGGTTGTGATCCAAATGTGCATTAGAATCGAACGTGGAAGAGCAGATCATCTGCCCGAACGTTGTAATTTCGCAAGCCAGGGGCGTGGTGTTGACACCACACCATCACAAATAAGTTTGACTGCAGACCTCACATCTGCTGCCGTCATTCTTGCTTTTTCTCTTTTTTGCGCAGCCACTTTGGGAGGGGGGAGTTTCTTTTTCGTGACTGACACCGGCTTGACAGGATTGGTTGGTGCGGGACGTTCCATGTCCAACTGCAGACGGGCTGCGGTACAGCTGGCCGTGCATGACATTTCTGCAAGTTCATCAGCATCAACTGCAGCAAAAAGTGATAGGTGAACCGGTGAGTGCGAGCAGTTCATGACAGCGTCGCACTGAGATATGGGGTCATTCAGGGTCATGAATCTTTCGGTTTCCCCTCCACGGAATTGACGAAATCCAGCTCGGATACATCTTCGTGTGCGACGAAAGACGCGAATGAAGATACGTCTCTGTCTCGAATGACCAGCCTCGTGTCTACGTTGTCAAATTTCAAACTCCAGAATGAATCCGACCGATCGCATCGGATCCCGATTCCAAAATCAAATCAGCAAAACAGGAAATGAAGTCTTTCTCGATTCTGTCGACTGCACCATCGGCAGCGGCATCGGCATCACCATCTCCTCAGCAGAAAAGAGAAGTGACAGATACCGCAGATCCACTCCAGCCCGCAAGCGGATCGATTTCGCACTCCTCTTATCCACAACTAGCACATGCTGGGTGATTTCGGTCTGTCCTGGTGTGCGCGGCAGCAGCAGCAGCAGCAGAGTTGTGAGCCCTTCTCATCCCCACACATCATGCAGCCTCCCTCCAGCCAACCCACGTCCAGCCCACGCCCAGTGCTGGTCCCACTCCAATTGGAGATCCTGCCGCAGCCATCGGCGTCCCATATTGCCGGTATGCACTCGATTGAATGTGGAAGAGCAACAGTCCTCAGCCCTGTTCGTGACGGCGGCGGGGAAGGCGACCCTAGCAAGCCGAAGGGTATGTTGTTGGAAAGGGGCCCATGACAGAATTTCTTCTGCCGTTGTCTCGAGACAACAAGAATCAACGATTCTTTCAACAACATCAGTGCCCTGGAACAAGATTCTCGAGACTAGGACGGCCGATGAACGGTTCACACTGACGTGGCAGTGAAGCACTCCGCCTGCCCGCTGCCATCGCTCATAATCTGAGCATCGATCTAGATCTGGGTATGCACGATTACCCAGGCTTTCGAACTGAACGGTTCAGTAGTTGGAGCCTATGCAACACGATACGTGTACCCACTAGCCCGTCACGGCGAATCAAAATGACCATGCCCATCGCAGCGCTGCATAACCACGTTGGCGTCACTGGCGATGTCCGAGAGGGCACGAGAGAGCAAACTGCAAACACCCGGGCTTTCTCAGAGCGTGCGCATCCCACAGCGATGGGTCCTTGCCTGCGGTTCATCCGCATGGGTGTGCTGCGGGTAATTGGATACCGTCAGAACACTGAACCTGCATGCACTCAGAAGAGCGGGTTAGTAAATCCATCATTGGTCCGTCACCGACCGCCGAAGGGTTCGGTGGTCGTATTCAAGTCCCACGCCGAGCTTGACGGGAAGACGATCTCCGCTAGGGAAAGGTCTCCGTCGAGGCGTTGACGTTTAGTCTGCCGCCACTGTCAACGCCTGGGCCATCATAAGCTTGAACCAGGGCTCTAATCAAGTCCTCTCCGTATCGACGGGATGTAGGCCACTCGATCCAGCAGCTGGCGCGGGACAGATGGTCCAGAGTCCCGGGAGGAAGAAAGACCCCTGCCGCCAGCCCACTGTCAATCCGACCCAAAGGAACACTGCATCATACGCGCAGACGGCTGCGGTTCAAACACCCAACATCCGACGTCTGGCCAATGGGAAACCACCCGTCCCCAGAAGACAGTAAACGGTTTCTCGCGACCCTTGCTCTGCCATCGCCAGCGGCACAGGCGAGCCTCCAGCAGCAATCCCAGCTGGGACGATCCCTCTACCAGGCCGTGTCGACTGCCGCACTTATCCGGCCAGACTATCCCCAGGCTGGCAAACCCTCGGCGGACCCCCCAGCGGCATGATGATGTGCGGTCTAGCCTCAGTCGTGTATCCAAGATCCCGCTCCCGGCCTTCATCGCAGACGCGGGTCATACCCTTGCCCTACACAAGCGCCCTCCACCACCACCACCAGGGCCAGGAGGCTCAAAATGTGAGTTTCGACAGAAGACGACCGGAAAGCGAGCTCATCCCAAAACTGATATCGCCACGGAGGCCCACGAAAGCCGCCGGATCGTAGCCGCGTGGGCTGCGCAGACCTTTCTCAAAAGGTTAACATTTGCATATATTGGTGCGGAGATGGGTGGGATTGGGTAGGGGGAAGGGGGAAGGGGGCAAGATCAGAAGCTGAGAGGTAGTTTCACCCTCCCGCGATACCTTAATTGAACTCCTTTCTGCTCACGGGAAGGGGGGCGGCTTGGCCTCGGGTCCGTAGTTGAAAAGCCTTCAACTCCCGCCAGGCCCGTCATGTCTTGGTCGAGTAACCGTCGATCTGATTTTGTTTCCTCAGCGTCATCATATCAACAACCCTCGTCATTGTTAGGAAATATTCTGGTCTTCGTGACTTTTAATGTTTATTGTATCGTATTCGTCCATCTCTTGAGTCTGCCCTCTCCTGAGATCAAGCATCTCCTGGACTTGCTCTCTCCCTGAAGCATTCTTCCAGAGCTCGAGCCCTTTTCTGAGTCTTCACCAAGGAAGCAAATTCTTTCCAGCCCATTGGCTATCCGTCCCAGCCACAGACCAACAGACTGAAGAACCGGTTCGCCTTGCCACCCGTCCGCTGGTATCCGTGGATCATCTCATACCGCCATTCCATCGCTGGGAAGAACACCACCAGTCTTGCAGCCAGTGGAACGGCCATCGGAAGCCCACGCCTCATCTTGCAGACTTCTCCATTGACCGCCGAAACCTCCCCCACATCTTCCCTGTCTTCAACGCACCGCCGGACGACGACATCGCGCGTACGAGTTGAGACAGCGCAGAACACCGGTAGAACATCGCGGAAGAAGCGGTGAAGACTGCGCAGCCATCTTTCCATCTTGTCGGTTCCGAGGCGTCGCTTTCTTTCTCGTCGAGGATGTTTATGAGCGCTCCTCCCCGGTTGGGCTTTCATGGCTCGGACTACTTTGCCTTCGAGCAGAGCATGACAGCCAGAGCCCAACAACGCTTCAACCAGCGACGCATGAGAAAACTGATTGCACGTCACGGCAAGCATCCTTTCGGCGCTCACAGAACACCACACCACGTAGGCATCATGTCTAACGAAGACTGGCCTCTGGACACCATGCCAGACGGTATCCAAGACAGTTTCGAGGTGCGTTCGCTCATTTCCTCCAGCCTTCTGTTCCCTTCAATCAAACCATCTGAGATGTGATCAAGGCCTCCTTGCTGACCTAACACTCGGCCTCAGGCTCAACAGCTCCGGAACAGATACCTCGCTGGCACCGCGGGCAGCCCGTATTCCGATCCTGATGCTTTCATGCTCTTTCAGAGGATGCAACAGTTTGATGCCCCTTTCAGCAATAAGCGACCAGTCATGGATCACAATCAGTCATGGCAGCCCGAGGGCATGCCGTACGCGAACGACATGCAGTCCATGTTTGCGCCGATGCAGTTCCAGTTTGGTGTTTCGTCCGTCGATGATATCTCCATGTCAACCTCTGGTGGTTTGAGTCAAAACATGCCCATCTCCTCTCCTGTCTTCTCAGCATCCGAGTCGGGCGCCAGCTTTGGCAGCTTCTCCTCCACCGGTGCACCCAACCTCCTTGACTCCGGTTCTTTCAGCTCAGCAGACGGCTCGGCCATCATCAACAGCCCTCCCCAGCAGTTCGATTACGTCAACTCTCCCTTCACGTCGTCGTCTATGATGGCTGAAGATCTTTCCAGCATCAAGGCAGCCCCTCCTTCGCCTCAACCCTTCTCTGAGCCAACGCCGATTCACTTCTTCCAGGCACCTCCCGAGCAGATTGCAGAGCCTGGGCGGTTCCACATGGACGATCGTCACGCCGTGGGAGTCTCTGCTGCCGGGAGTCATAGCATGATCCTGAAGTCTGAACCACATGCTCGCATACTGCCTTCGAAGCCTCGCAAGGAGCTTCCCGAGAAGCCACGTTCTCGCCGCGCCAGCTCTCCAGCCCACAAGTCGGTCCCTTCAGCTCCCAAGGCAGAGCTTAGGCCGAAGCAATCGAAGCCCTGCCCGGTGCCATTCTCTTTCGCAGAATCCGTGGAACGCTCCGCCAAGGACGAGTATCTTCTCAAAGCCAAGGCAGAGGGACTGACATACCGCGAGATTCGCGTCAAGGGCAACTTCAGCGAGGCGGAGTCAACCCTCCGTGGCCGTTATCGCACCCTTACCAAGAGCAAGGAGGAGAGAGTTCGAAAGCCCGAGTGGACTAGTCATGATGTAAGTGCCACCGTTCGCGATATGAAAGCATTGTCTAACCCTTGATTTGCAGATCCATCTCCTCAAAAGGGCTGTGCGCAAGTTCTCCAAGGGCAACGATCCAGCTTCAACCAAGATTCCATGGAAGCAGGTGGCCGAGTACATTTACTCGCATGATGGATCGTACCTGTTCGGCAACGCCACTTGCCGTAAGAAGTGGGATGAACTCGTCATGTGCTCTGCAGGAAGACGCATCGGCGGAAGTGGAACCATGTAGTGCCGCTCGGGACGGCGCGATGGGGCCCCGATGAGTGTGCTTGATGAGATTGGGTTCCGGGGTGAATATTGGAATGGTTTGCAGCATTGCAAATTCGAGATGTGAGCTGTCGTTCATGGTGGAGTACTGGCTGAATTTTCATGTTTGTGTTCTTTAGTTAGAAACCTGCCGCTAGGCAAAAATGTTTGTTTGTTGTTGCATGTATCTTGGGCTGACTGCATGATAAGGACTCGTCCAAATTTCCAGCAATCACAGCTTCTTACTGTGTCCAGAATTCTTTGGGATGCCGATCTTGGCCAGAATATCGACCAGTTGATTGCTGTCGCTGTTGGCTTTGAGAGCACTCCATTCGGCTTCACTCTTGACCAGAGCAGTCCCTGCCAATACAGTGCCGTTGAGGCTGAGTTTGCCGACGGACCTGCCATTTTCCTCGATGGTGTGGCCCTCGGCCAATCGCGGCATGACCACCAAAGACTTGCTTGTCATTGCAAGGTTGTAGCTGATCCGAGCTTCCCCGTTGCCTGAGTCGTCTAATTTTCCGACATGAGCCTCGACTGCGTCAACAGCTGACCGGAACAGCGACACGTAGACAGCATGGAGCTCATTAGGAGTCATGTCCCCATGGATTTTCTCGCCGAATGTCGTGAATGGGACGCCCATGAGCTGCGGTTGAACCAGCTGCTTCGCCAAGACATCCCACCTGGAGCCCTCTGGCAGGCCATCCTTCATTTGAGCGACAGGAAGTAGCTGAATATGTCTATGTGGCTGGCTTGCGCCCGAGTGTTGCCCACTGTTAAAAAATGCGTACAACTCGTTGTCTCCATGCTGGTGGTATGCTTCGATGCAAGCGTAGGTCGCTGCCAAGTCGTTCGGCTCCAGCAGGTGAGTCTGCAGTTTGTAATCCTTCGTTGCGAGGATAAAGTGCTCTGGTACAATGGCGAACTTGTTCAGAACGAGATTGTGTCCCGAAGAGGGGATATCGGCGATGAACAGCGGACCGTTCTGGGGGTTCTCGAAGGGATCGAATGGTTTGCGTGGTTGGTCGGTTTGGGACTTCGGAGCGGTTGGCTTATTTGCCAGTGCTGGAGAAAAACGAAGCTGGAACTGCATGTCGGGGTCAGGGGCAGCCCTCAACAAGGTGACAGCCGTCTGGGACAAACTTACAGGGATCGAGTTCGCAGTCAGGACGGCGACTTGCGTCGCGTAATAGTTAAGGTCGCCATTGGCACGAGCTTTGTTGAAAGCAGCTTTCACAAGCTCGGGGAGATTTGCCGGGGCTTTGATAGGGGCCATCATGATGACAGAGAAAGGTGCAATGGCCAAAGATGTCACTAGAGGTCGCGATATGTGGGATGGAAGCCAGGAGGATGAGGTCACTTCGTGTTGGGACAAGATGACGGGACGCGCCGGGGCGGGAGCTACGGTCAATGCCCCACCTTCCCCTCCTACACCGAAGTCTCTACCGGCATTGACCGAGACACCGAGCCGTCCATGCCTGCCCGCGTAGTACAGGCCGCCATCGCCACATAAGACAAGCAAGTGATAAACAAGTCAAGCTAGCATAGTTCTGGAATTGGTCATCGGTTCAGCCTACCTGAACAATGCCCGGAATACTGCATATTCTCTCAGCATCGCCGAGGTTCTGCTGCGATGTGTCCTCCACTTCTGTTGTGGGTGAGCCTCGGTGACTTGGCGTCTGGCTTTCTCATTGGCCGGTCGGTGCTCGCAGTTGGCCGACTGTCCGATGATTAGCCACCCGACCTGTCACTGCCCCACTGTCAACAGCCACACAGCCTGGCCCAGAAGGTGCCCTCGTCAGGTACGTACCCTCCCCCGATCAGCAACGTCATACTTCTGGTGTTGCTGAATTCTCGCGCCAAATCCTGGCCTCTTCATTCCTCCACCTCAAGAGCCACCACTCCCGCCAAACAGCTCTCAAACCCGCTATTCTGCCCTTAATGCTGTAGCTGAACCTCTAGACGTCAAAAGAGTCAACATGGAAACACCACCCACTGCGAACCTGCGGAGCAAAACCCGACGCGCCCTGGACGAACTCAACGGAGCAACCACGATGGCGCCCGAGCAACCGACCAAGACGAAGCGAAACAACCCCTTCCTGCCCACCCCTCTCGAGACCCTCGTCGTCGCCGCTTTTCCCGTCATCCTGTTCTTCGGGACTCTCTTCTCGCTGCTCTCCCCCGACGTCCGGTCCTCGCAGTACGACCATGCCTCCCAAGCCCACGTCCAAGACACCGCACCTTCCTACTTCGCGCGAAAGTCGAACCTCTTCAACGTCCTCTTCGTAAAGAGAGGCTGGTTCTGGATCACCGCTGCCTTCTTCGCCTTTATCTTCACCCACCCCGCGACCGTCCACTCGACCCGTCGGATACAGGCCACCCTCCGCTGGGTGCTCGTCACAACGTGGTGGTTCTTCGTGACGCAATGGTTCTTCGGGCCTGCCATCATTGACCGAGGGTTCCGGTGGACTGGAGGAAAGTGTGAGATTATTGAGGAAAAGGTCGAGCTCGGCGAGGGAGATGCTAAGGAGGTCTTCACGGCTGTGGCGTGCAAGGCTGCTGGTGGAAAGTGGCGCGGTGGACACGATATTAGTGGACACGTATTTCTGCTGGTCCTCGGCTGCGGCTTTCTGCTTTCCGAGGTCGGCTGGGTTGTTCTCCGATGGAAGGGCGCAAGGCGAGAGGAGCGCAGCGTCGTTATGACGGATGGCGCGACAAAGACAGCCACCGTCGAGGCTCAGGGTCTGCAGGGAGAGCCCGTTCCTGGTGATGCTCTCGGGCTCGGGGGCAAGTTCGCCGTTGGCGTGATTGGTCTCAGCTCTTGGATGTTGCTTATGACTGCCATCTACTTCCACACCTGGTTTGAAAAGGTATATTTCCACTTTGACTTTGTTGGCCTCCTCAACTCACTGATATGTCATAGATTACTGGCCTTGCAACCGCCCTTTCGGCTCTGTACGGCGTCTACATCCTTCCTCGTTTTGTTCCTGCGATACGCCAGGTCGTTGGCTTGCCCGGAATCTGATACCCGCTGCATGGTTGGATCGAGTAATAGATACTCAATAATATAAACAATACCCCTTTCATCCATACTCACGTTCAGTTTGTCCCGTGAAGTCCCTCTCCCGGGTCATCCGGCCGGGCCGCGCCATTAAACATTTTGTTGGCGACCGTTGTTTCGTAGAAGGGCTGGCCGTTTCTGCTTTTCTAGATCTGTGACTGTGAAGGCGCGGGGAATCGGGATGTGATGTGCCGTCCTGGCCATCCCTGCCAACGGCCGTCCGGTTCATCCAAAGTGTAGCAAACTAGAGAGGATGCAAAAATGACAAATCCAATGTAATGCCGGGATGGCTCGAAGTCGCGACTTTAGATTCCAAGGCAGTCACACGCATTCAGATGCACAAGGGACTTACTTGGATGGTAGCGGAGACCATACTCGGAGCCGAATGTGTCTACACAAGCAACGTCACACCATGCGCTTCAAAGATATGATCAAAAACAATTGATTCGTTTGTGGTATCAATGCCCCTTGGGCAGAAACAAGAAGTGTATCTCAACAGACCCTGTGTTTTCTAAAAATCCTCAAACTCCCAAAACCCTGATGCAAGTATGCCGCCTGGCCCAATAATCCACACAAAAAAAGGGGGGGTTAGCTCCCGTTAGCTCCCAGCCACTAGGGCCGAGTGCTAGATGAAGTGAAAGTCGTAAGCCATGTCAGTCCTCTTCCCAGCAGGGCACGTCTCCTCAAGCTCGATCGCATCGCGGGTATCCATGCGGAACCCACGCTTCGTCTCGAGGTCGTCCTATGCGGTGGTCTTATCGCTCGCCTAGAGCGGGGCCTGGAAGAGGGCGACGGTGGCGCAGAAGTTGTTGCGGTTGTCGCTGTCGAGGGCGGCGCCCTTGCCGTTGACGGTGACCATGTTGACCGAGGCCTTGGTGCTGAGGCCGAAGAACTTGACGTCGCTGTTCTCGAGCGAGACCATGTGGTCCTGGCAGTTGTTCTGGCCGACGCAGACCTGGTCGTAGTTGTTGAAGAAGCTGTACAGGCCGGCGCCGTAGATGAGGATGTCCTTGGAGTTGATGGCGCGGACGCCCCAGGTGCGCGCGCACTTGTCGCTCTGGCCGGTGCAGAAGGTCTCGAAGTTGGGGTCGAGGATGGCGTTGTTGACGGTGAAGGGCGTCTTGGCGTCGGGGTTGCCCTGCATGTACGCCGTCTCGGTCTGGATGTGCGCCATGTACACGTTGGAGGCGTTGTTAAACTGGTAGTTGTACAGGACGGAGTGCTCGGAGGCGGTTCCCCAGAACCAGGTTCCCTTGGTGGACTCGGTGAGGACGCCGCGGCCGTTGTAGATGTCGATCTGCTGACCCTTGTTGGCGAGGTCGAGCTCGTGGTCGGCAACCCACCACCAGACATTCTCAAAGTAGCCGGAGGACTCGGCGGTGATGTGGGTGAGCATGTAGGCGCCGATGCACTCGGGGTTGGCGGCGTGAGTGACGTTGGGGTTCTTGGCGCACTTGTCGGACTGGAGCTGGGTGCCCTGGCTGCCGCCGATGCGGAAGTGGACGTCCCAGAGACCGGCGGCACCAGGGCTGGAGCCGGCGATGTTGTACTCCATGAGGATGGCACCGGCCTGGGGACCCTGGGTCTGGACGATGATGTCGCTCATCTCAAAGGTGCCAACGTCGCCGGGCTTTCCGACTCTGAGCATGACCTTGGGGTTGGCCTGGTCCTTGAACGCCTCGCCGTTGGCCATCAGGAGAGGCCAGACCTCGCCGGTGATCTTGATGTCCTTGGGCACCTCGATGGTGTTGGAGATGATGTAGGCACCGTGGTCAAAGTAGACAATGTCGTTGGGGCCGGCCTTGTTGAACAGAGCCTGGATGGCAGCCGTGTCGTCGGTCTTGCCGTCTCCCTTGCAGCCGTTGGCCTTGGCGCTGAGGAACTGGCTGACGGCGGCGGTCTCGTACTGGGGCTTGCTGCGGGTGACAACCTTGCCGTTGGAGCCGAGGAGAACGGCGGGCTTGGTGATGGCATCCTGGGCGCTCTGGACAGCCTTGCCGTTGCCGGTAGCACCGGTGTAGGTGCGGCCCTGGATGAAGGAGGCGATCTTCTGGTTGCCGGCAAGGACGTTGGCCTTGGTGTCGACGATCTGGACGGCGGCGGGGACGTTGGTGGTCATGTCGACGTTGTCGAGGATCAAGCTGCCGTTGGTGGAGGTGGAGGCGGGGTTGTAGGCAGTCAGGACACCGACGGGGGTGTTGCTGATGACACTGTCGAGGAGAAGAACGGAGCCAACAGTCTGAGCAGAGGCACCGCCGTTGGACATGTCAACACCAATGCCGCAGTTGTTGATGGTGAGGTCCTGGAGGGTCCAGAGCCAGTTCCAGTTCATGTAGACGGCCGTCTTGCAGTTGTTGAAGGTCAGAGCGCGGGTGGTGAACTGCTGAGAACCAACAAACATGCCGTACTTGCCGCCGTTGAAGGTCAAGTTGGTCATGAAGCCACCGGAGCCGTTGTCGATGAAGATGCCCTGCTGGACGTTGCTGTCTCCGCCATCGGTGCGCATGTTGAAGACAATATTCTGCAGAGAAGTAGCCTGAGCAACCTGCCAGTGAATACCGGCGCCAGAGGTGACGGGCATGGCAGTGAGGTCGACGTTGAAGTTCTTGACGAGCTTCCAGAAGTTATTCTATGGCATTTATGTTAGCTCATACGCAGAAGTCTTCTGCTTATGCTTGACATACCTGGTTAGTGTGCTGGTTGTTGCCCTGGTCGTCGTACGGGTTGGCGTCAATAACAGCCATACCAGTGAAGCTGGCAGCGGCCTTGACGGTGGGAAGGTTGGTGGCATCTCCAACCATATGGGTGTAGTACTTCATGGCGATCGGCTTGCTGACGACGTAGGTGCCAGCAGGGAAGTAGACCAAGGCGGGAGTGGTAGTCGAGGAGTCGCATCCGAAACCGCAACGGTTGCCCTGCTTCAGTCAGCCCAGATATTCAAACCCAGAGATCGAACATCACATACCTCGTCCATGGCGGCCTGGATGGCGACGGTGTCGTCGGTAGCGCCATCACCCTTCGCGCCATAGTCCTTTACATTACGGAAGATCTTGTAGTTGGGATCGCCAAAGGCAGAGACACCGCTTCTCTCGATCGAGGCGACCCAGTACCCCTCAGCGGTAGCAACGGGCGAGTTAGAAGCCTGGGGAGCGGCGACGGGGTCGGGCGTGGGAGCCGCGAGGGCGTCGAGGGAGAAGAGGCGCAAGGCCAGAAGGGTGGTCGTGAGAACTGTTGAGAGGCCCATCATGATGTAGAACCAGCTGATCGACGATGTCCTCTTGTTTTTGGTTGATTGGAAAGAAGGCGAAGACTGCGCGTTGAGTGTATCGTGGTTAGCTTCTCAAGTCTCCAGAGCAAGAGGTGGTGGTGGTGAATGTTGGTGTTTGCAAGCAGAACGAAAGCGCAGCTTCCAGAAGTGTGATGAAAACTCGAGACTTCGAGAGATCCACCAGAGGAAGGAGGGAAAGATACCTGTTCTCTTTTCTTTGCTTCTGTTGCTTTGTGGGCGTGGTTGTTGTTGAATAGGGCGAGAAGCTGGTAACCCTCGACGACTCGTTCCATGATCAACAAGCCTCCATCCACCTTAAGTATTTCGAGCAAGTGAGTGACAGTGACTAACTGCCAGTCAACCATCACCGGCCCGCTCCACGAACAGCCCAGCTGTCAGTGACTGAAAGGCTGTTGCGCGTCACAAGCCTGGATCATGTTCCATTGTCCCGTCGAGACTAAACAACCAGGGTGGTTGTCTAAGCCGACCTCTTTGAGCTGGACCTCGACGCAGACCCGACTCAGATGACAAGTCGTACGTCACGGTACTGGTGTCTGAAGAATACCCCATTCCACCAGAAGGAACATGAAGAGCCGAGACAATAGGCCGGCGGAGAGAGGGTGGGAAGGAAAAGAATCAAATTCAAGCCACGAGACCCGGGGGGCCAAGATGGCGCACACAGCAACTACTCACCAGGAGTTTGAGAGTGACGACAGCGGATGACGGCCGATCAAGGCTCCGGTTGTATTGGTGCTAAAGAATGACAGGATCGAATCCCCTCTGAGGATTTCGATGAACAGAAAGAACGAAACGAAAGAACGTCGATGGAGGACGAGGAGGGTGTGCGGTTCGAGACACGGGAGAAAGGGACGGGGGAGGGAGTAACCACGAGCCAAGAAGAGGTTGACGGCGACTATCACCGTCTTATATCGACCTACCCTTTGGGCAGTCCCCTGCCTCGCCATGCGGTTTATCGCCATGGTGGCGGCACTGGGCACTCTGCACCTGTCGGACCTCTCTTCAGTTTGAGGCGAGCAGGGCCCCGGATCCCGGTCCACAACCTTAGGTACAGCCGTTATTGTTCTCGACGACTGGATCTCGGCGGCCCTTCTTTTGCGCAAACCCTACCCTGTGAGAGGAGGGATGTACAGTAAGGTGTCCAGGAGCTTGAAGGGGTGAGCGAGTGGGATGGGAGGGAATATTGGACGTCCGTGGCCCGCCCGAGCTCTCTCGACCAAACCTAGCTAACCTTACAGCGGTAGCTTTTCTTTACTAACACGCCCCGAGTTGCGTTGTGTGAATGAGTGTGTGTGCTGCTGTCCAGCCGACTTGCCGCGATGGATAGGCAATCCCGGGGCCAAGAGGATAAAAAAATGCGATGAAACAAGGATCCGGAGAGGGGCGCTATTGGATAGGAGGGGATATAGCTTCAAACAGAGCTAAGCAAGGCCCGCGATTGGAGGGGGGGAGGAGGGTGTGATGGACAGACGTTGCTTTGCTGTGCTGCGCTTCTGCTGTGGTGCTGTGTGCTGGTTGGCAAGTGGGAGGACGGGAGACAGAACAGACAGAGACACAGACAGGGTGACAGTGACAGTGGAAAGAGAGAGAGAGAGAGAGAGAGAGAAAGAGTGGAAGCAAGCAAGCAAGCACACGCAAGTAGTTCGGACGAAAGCGGCGACGATGAAGGGGGGAGGCC